AAGGTCCTGTGCTTAAACAAAGGAGACTACAATAGGATGAGGGGGGAGTTGCTAAAGTAGACTGGAAGCAAAGACTATATTGTGGCACAGTTGAGGAATAGTGGAGGACTTTCAAAGCAATCTTTCAAAGTGCTCAGCAAAAGTATATGCCAGTGAAAAGGAAGGACTGTAAGATAGGGGGTAATCAGCTATGGACGCCTAAAGAAATAAGGGAGGCTGTCAAATTGAAAAATAAGGCATACAAAGTGGCAAAGACCACTGGGAAACTAGAATATCGGGAAAACGTTAAAGATCAATGGAAAGCCAGAAAAAAGGTTATAAAATAAGGTAGATTATGAGACTAAACTAGCTCAGAATATAAAGACAGATAGACAAAAGTTTGTATAAGTGTATAAAATGAAAAAGAGTGGCTAAGGTAAACATTAGTCCTTTAGAGGATGAGAAGGGGGATTTAATAACGGGAAATGATGAAAAAGCTGAGGCATTGAACAGGTATTTCGTGTCGGTCTTCACAGTGGAGGACATAAATTACTGCCAGTAATTGATGACAAAGAGACTAAGGTAGGTGAGGACCTAGACATGATCATTATCACGAAAGAGGTAGTGTTGGGCAAGCTAATGGAGCTAAAGGTGTCCTGGCCCTGATGGAATGCATCTGAGAGTACTAAAAGAGATGGCGGGAGTAATAGCAAATACATTCATGGTAATTTTCCAAAATTTGCTGGACTCTGCGGCAGTTCCAGCAGATTGGAAAACCGCAAATGTGATGCCACTGTTCAAAAAAGGAGGTAGAGAAAAGATGGGGAATTTACAGGCTGGCTAGCTTAACTTCTGTACTGGGGAAAATGCTTGAATCTATCATCAAGGAATGAATAGCAAGAAACCTAGACAGAAATTGCCCCATTGGGTGGATGCAGCATGGGTTCATGAAAGACAGGTCATGCTTGACTAATTGCTAGAATTCTATGAAGACATTATTGAGTCCGTGTTGTCCACCACACTCGTAGATGTGTTATATCTGGATTTCCAAAAGGCTTTTGACAAGGTGGTACACAAAAGGCTGCTGCATAAAATAAAGGTGTATGGTGTTACAGGCAATGTATTATCATGGATTAAGGATTGGTTAACTAACAGGAAGCAAAGAATGGGGATAAATGAGTGTTTTTCTGGTTGGTGAACAGTGACTAGTGGTGTGCCTCAGGGATCAATGTTGGGACTGCAATTGTTTACAATTTACAGAGATGATTTGGGGGCCACGTGTAGTGTGTCAAAATTTGCAGATGACACTTTAATGAGTGGTAGAGCAAAGTGTGCAGAGGACTTAAAGTTTGCAGAGGGATAGAGATAGTTTAAGTGAGTGGGCAAAGGTCTGGCAGATGGAATTCAATGTTAATAAATGTGAAGTCATCCATTTTGGTAGGAAAAACAGTAAAAACGACGATTGTTTAAACGGTAAAAAACTTGCAGCATGCTGCTGTGCAGAGGGACCTGGGTGTCCTTGTGCATGAATCGCAGAGGGTTGGTTTGCAGGTACCACAGGCAATTAAGAAGGCAAATGGAATTTTGTCCTTCATTGCTAGATGGATTGAGATTAAAAGCAGGGAGGTTATATTGCAGCTGTAGAGGGTGCTAGTGAGTGGATACCTGGAGTAGTGTGTGCAGTTTTGGTCTCCTTACTTGAGAAAGGATGTGTTGGCACTGAAAGGGGTGCAGAGGAGGTTCACTAGGTTGATTCCAGAGTTAAGAGGGCTTATGAGGAGAGGCTGAATAGACTGGGATTATATTCATTGGAATTTAGAAGAATGAAGGGGGAATCTTAGAGAAACATATAAAATTATGAAGGGAAAAGATAAGGTAGAAGCAAGAAGGTTGTTTCCACTGGCGGTTGAAACTAGAACTAGGGGGCATAGCCTCAAAATAAGGCGGAGCAGATTTAGTACTGAATTGAGGAGGAACTTCTTCATCCAAAGGGTTGTGAATCTGTGGAATTCCCTGCCCAGTGAAGTAGTTGAGGCCTCCTCATTGAATGCTTTTAATGCTAAGATAGACCATTTTTTAAATAGTAAAGGAATTAAGGGTTATGGTGAGAGGGTAGGTAGGTGGAACTGAGGCATGAAAAGATCAGCCATGATCTTCTTGAATGGCGGAGCAGGCTCAAAGGGCCAGATCGCCTACTCCTGCTCCTGGGTCTTAAGCTCTTATCGCCAGCAACTGCCTGAGTGCTGAATTGCTTTGACACCAAATTCAGCCGTGTCGCAGCAAATATGGTGCACTGTTTCCTGCAGATAGTTGATATTATGGATAGAGTGCACCAGGGATAGAGGAGGTGCTTGTTGAGATCACTCTCAGGGACACTGGTCAAGCATGCCATCACATTGTCTATAATTGGTAGAGCATCTACCAAAAGGGCTGTGCATGGAATATTTCAAAACATTGTTTGTGCTCAGAGATTATATTGTCATAAATGCATAAAGTAGCATAAATGCATAAAGATTTCTGTACTATCTTTAATGGCATTATGAAGCATTTATACAATATAACAGCATCATTTCTAGGCTTTAGTGTGTTGTGGGTTTAATAAATGATACAGTTGCAACTCGGGCAGAGGACTTTTTTTTCAGATTGGCTATGAAAGGCAATAATCAGCTGCAATGACCTTCAGTCAATATCCCCAAGCTGTTGTACTTCGTCTGCTCCTGATGGCTGCAGATTATTTGCATTCTGTTGTATTTTTAGCACTTCCTGGTAAGATATATGTAGTACCTTAATGCTGCTGATGGGAAAAGTTCTGACAAAATTGCTGGAAACATATGACATTTATTTCATCAACTGAAAGGTCTTTTTTTGGTGTATCTCCTTTGTTTCCTTGTTGACCTGTCTGTTAAGGCCAGGATAATGGAGCTACACAAACTGGAAGATTGCAGATCTGACTCCTGTCCAATATGAGCTTATATCTAGTAATGTGTCTGTTGGGGTGCTAGGAGTGCTCCAAGCCAGAGAGAGTTAACATAAGCCAGTGTTCCTCTCCTGACTGCTGTCCACTGATTCCTGCTAGTTGGCCATCGTGTTAGGATGGGGTTTTGTTCTACAAAATTCTTCACAATTAAATAATCTGTTAATACTGTTCAAGTTCATGTCTGAAGAACAGTCAATTCACAGAATCTCTGAATCGTTACAGTGCACAAAGAAGTCATTGGCCCCGTCGAGCTTGCACTGTTTCTCTGAATTAGTAGTTCACCTATGGCCATTCTCCTGCCTTGTCCCCATGACTCTGCACATTCTTTCTTTTCAGATAATAATAAATATATAAATTCCCTTTTGAATGCTTTGTTTGAACCTGCTTCCTCAACAATCTTGGGCAGTACATTCTAGATCCTAACCACTCATTGCCTGAAAAAGTTTTCCTCATGTCGCCTTTCTTCTTTTGCCAATTATCTTAAATCTGTACCTCCTGTCCTCATTCTTTCCATCAACAGGAACAGTTTCTTCCTGTCTACTCTGTCCAAGACTCTTGTGATTTTGACTATCTCGACTAAATCTCCACTCAAACTTCTCTTCAAAGAAAGTAGTCCCAACTTCATTAATTTATTTAAATCTTTCCTGGATTTGTAGTCAAACTGAAGTGGAAGTGTGAAGCATAAAAGATGAATGAGAAAATATGCAAGTCCTGTTTTAAAGCATGCCTTTCAGATGCTGACACAGGCTCTATATTGCATCTAAATGTGTTGTATTGGCTGTACCTAATTCAATTTTTATTTTAACCTTTTGGAGGAGACATTTGTGAAACAGAAGTTTTCTTAAAGTTCTATAGGAAGAAGGACGTTTAGAAATCCCAACCAAGCAGTTGTTTGTGACTTGAGTAGATGAATCCATTTCATTAAGGGTATTGTAAAATAATTGTTAAGTCATTGGATTTACAATCCAGAGGCTGAAGTGATAATCTGGAGGCATGAGTTCAAATCCCACTATGACAGTTGTGAAAATTAAATTTAAACCAGGAATAGAAAACTAGAATCAGTAATATTTGACATTAAAACTACTGACTCATTGTTAAAAATCCAAAAGTTTCATTAATGTCCTTTGGAGAATCAGACCTGCTGGTTTTACTGAGTCTGGTTTACATGTTACACACAGCAATTTGGTTGACTCTGTCCAATGCTTTCTAAAACAGCCACTTAGTTTTCATAGCAGTTCTGATACAACCATAATGTACAGAGACTGCATTATCAAGAAGGTACCTCAAGTAGGCAATCAAGGATGGGCAATAAATGCTGGTTTCCCCAGCAATACCCACATCCTGTGAATGGATAAAGGCAAGTGCCAAAGTGCGTTGATTTCTAGGAATAGCATAATCATTTCTAAAGTTGGCGTTAATGGGCTCATCCTCCGTATAATGTGCCTCCATTTCACATTCACATATTGTGAATCATTAACTTGCTTGTATGTTACATAAGTTACAACTCATGCAAAACGTCACAGCCCATGGTCCAATTGTCTCCGACCTCCTTGAGCTACACTGGTCCCCAAAATAAGATCATACAACAGCGGCTCAGCCTTCGCTCCTCAATTCAGTATTGCTGGCCACCCCTTCCAGCCACGTATCTGTATTACATCAGTAACTGTGCTTTAAATTTAGTTCGTTGGTTAAAAGCACTCAGAGCATCCAGAGGATGCGATAGGTTGCTACATAAATGAACCCTCTTTCCAATTTCACATGCTCCTCATCCTGTCATTTAATACTTTCCATCTTGTTGTCTCCCTTCCTTTTTTTTTGGAACCTTCTAAGAATCCTTTGCTTAGCTGTTCCATTCCCCTCAACCTTTTTTCCCTAGTCATTCAATGTCCACTATCCTTTAAAGGCCTGAGACAATGTTGTGAGGAGTGTTAAAGAAATATAGGTTGTTGTGATTATATAGATTGTTGTGATTACTGAAAACTGTAGATCTGACTGGTTTATTGGCAGAGCTGGATCTCAGTAATCTTTTGTTAAATTTTGACAGATCTATCCTTGTGAGGATGGTGAGTGCTGCTGGAAGTGGCTATTGCTTCAATGCAAAGAGGAGCCGACTACGGGACAAACTCGTCCTGAGAAAACATGATCCAATAGGTAAATTGTAATGTGCAGCTGTGGTAGGTGAATGGAGAATGTGTCACTTGTGGAGTCTTCATTACCAGTGTTACTAACTCTTCTCCATTAATCTCAGATGACAACTCTAACTGCCCATTGCTTATTGATAACATCTTAAAATGTTATGCTTATTTATAATATATTAATGTTTATTTATAGTATATTAATGTTATGTCTGTGCATCCTGCTGTGATTACACCTTTCTCTCTAACCTCATTTCACTTGAATTACACATACAGTCTTGGCTCCCTTTGTGAAATACTATAAAAATTAACTGGTATTCAGTTCTTAAAAAGTTCTTTCAAGGGATATGGGTTGGTCACCGGCTAGGCCAGCAGTTATTACCCTTTGAGAAGGTAGTGGATTGCAGTCTAACTAATGAATTGGTCTAGTATGGTTTAGAACTACAAGCAGAATGTTACATATAAAGATACATCTCCTTTTTTGTCCTCAATTCAGTGTTAGGCATGCACAACATATTGCCAACTGAAAATGGGATGACCCATTAAGCAGAAATGATAACACATATTAGGTTGTTTGGCCAAGTCGTCCATGTTGGTTATTTCCTTTTCAAAAACAGTAGTCCTAATCCTATCTTCTTGCCTTCTATTCACAATCCATTTATCCCTCATTCCTTTAGCTACCCATTAAGTTTCTGTTTCAGTTATTCTCTCTGATAATGTATTTTATAGTCTCCTAGCCTAGTGTGTGTATGTGTGTTAAAATTTCTCCTAGTCGCTACAACAGCGCTGGCCTGTGAATAACATTTGCAGGCTGATTCTCTAAAGCAGTGTGATATTCACTTCCCCTTCATCTGTGGCACTCAGGAGATTGGTTCTGGGCTTCCTTCCACCGTCTGCTAGTTTCAGCACAGCTTGCCCTAGGGGGCGAATTTAGCAGTTTTCTGTTGTGCTGCTTGGCACATCAACTAAAAAGCGTTACACATACTGAATATCTGTGATCAATGTCTGTGTGCATGTGTAACTCCTTACTGTGGATGATTTGGATTAAACAGAAAAGAAAACTAAGGTCTGAACAAAACACACTTGCATTAAATGACCTTACTATTTTAGTTTCATAACTGGACTTGGATTTCAGCACACTGAGTATTAAATCGATATTGGGTATTACAACATAGCTCTTTTCCCTCCCCTGTCAAAAAAAAATACAACTTGTGATTGGTTTCAAACGTTAGATCAAGTGAGCTAGGCCAGATTATGTTCCCCTGTGCAATTCTCTGATAATGTGCCAGCAGCCCTCCATGATTTTTACAGTCCTCCAGTTTTGGCAGTTGCATTCATTATTGGCAGCTGACCTAAGCCCTGAAATTACATCCTTAAAACTTTCCACTTCTTACTGTCTCCTTTTTAAGACTACGCTTAGAAACCTATGTCAAATCAAGCTTTTTGGTCACCCTTCCTACTATTTCCTCATATGACATGGTGTCAAATTTTATTTAATGAAGTTCCCGTGGAACCTGATTCCCTTTGAATGTTTTACTAAGGAAAAGGTGCTGTATAATTGCAGCTTTTTTTTTTGAACTCCAATACTGAATGAGCATTTTCACCACCATGCATCTGAGTGCATGGTGATTTCTTGTTTACACCAGTATTTTTATAATCTCAGGATGTAAGGCTGGCAGGGTTTGTGCTGCGAACACTCACCGTTGCAAGTAGAATTATTCAATTTGGATACAAGGATCTTTCACAGATTAAAGGGTAGTGTTATATTATTTCAGGTATAACAAACATGGTAGGGAAATAGTGGTTTACAGCTATTCATGTACTCTGCCATTATCTGCCATTCTGTGAAAATAATTTCATTTCATTTTGATAGCAGAAACTCATGTACATTTTTAATCACATCACTTATGATAAGGAACACATTATGGAGATGTCAAATGGGACCCATGTCAGAGAACAATTTTTCTATGTTTGACTGTTTGACACATCTCACTGTAAGAAGTTGATCTATTATCTATTTTTGTGTTCCACAGCACAGAAAAAGGGCTCTCCAGTCCTTCAAGTCTGTGCTTGTCAAAAACAACCATTTAACTATTCTAATCCCATTTTCCAGCCTTTAGGCCATAGCTTTGTATGCCTTGGCATTGCAAATGTACATCTAAATACTTCTTAAATGTTAAAGGTTTTCTGTCTCTACCACCCTAACAGGTAGTGAGTTCCAGACACCTACAATGTCTGAGTGATAAATGTTTCCTCAATCCAAATCCATGCCTCCATCACTAATCCGTCTATAGAGTGGAGAAGTTTCTACCTGTCTACCCTATGAATACCCTGCATAATTTTATGCATCTCAATCATGTCCTCCTGTAGAAAAACCATGCTGACTGTTCACGATTAATCCCTGACGTTCCTAGTCCAGATTAATTTTGTTTATCAAAATTGCTTCCAATAATTTTCCCCACTGAGGTTAAGCTGGCCTGTAATTTCCTATTTATCCTTTGTTGCCTTCTTGAATAGTGGTAACACACTGGCTGTCCTGTAGTCCCCTGGCACCTCTCCTGTGGCTATCACTACTCTATTACTTTCACACTTCTCTAAAATTGCCTACATATCTGCTCTTCTATTTCTTGCAGATTGTTTTGGAGCCTATAGGATATTTCTTCCTCCTGTTTGATTTTTAAGTTCTGTCCGTATGGCTTCATTTGAGGCTTCTAAAATGGCATTCTTCCTTACTGCTGTAATAGATTCCCTGATCAATATTGCAACACCACCTCCTCTTTTACCTCCTTCCGTGTCTTACCTGAATATGTTCTTTTCTGGAGTACTGAGCTGCCAATTCTGCCTCCTCTCACCCCTGTCTCAGTTACAGCAATGACATCATACCCCCATGTTTTAATTTGAGTTTTCAACTCATCTGTCTTGTTCGTCAGTCTCCTTGCATTAAAATAAGTAACATTCAACCTTGCCAAATCTCTTGTGCCTTAACTGGCCTATAATTTCTATGCCTTCTCACTCCTGTATGTAATCCTCCAATTATTGGTTGCTATGTCATTGAAAAGCATTCTGATAATCTGTTGCTATGTGATCACATAATATTCTAATCCTCCACTAAACATGTATCCACTCATGGAAACAATTGGACAACAGTCGTGGCAGGACATTGGTTTGGGTGTGTTTCCTTTTCCAGAAAAAAAAACCTCATGCCACTTACATCATGTGTTTGAGACTTTTAAATGAGAGGTGCGGTTCCAAAAAATATTTGGGCACAAGAAGGGCTGAGAAAACATTTACATTCTGTGTTGTACTTTGTATCTGTGCTGGGATACGATGTCTCCCTTCACTTGTTAAAACATGAAAGACCCAAGGGCTTTAAGTGTCATATGATTGAAAAATGAACTTTTAGTACTCTTCTATGCAGAATGTTTGGCTTGAAGCAGTTCTGAAAATCTTTATTTTGCAGTGCTTGGAAATATTTAAACTGCTTTCACTGCTGAAGTTGTCAGCTTTCTCTAATCAGGTTACAGGGAATTACTCACTTTGATATTCTTCAGTATACATTTCATTTGGTTCTTGTTTTCTTACCCCCAATGTTTGAGAAAATAAAACTATATTGGTGCCTTTAAATAAGGTTCTTTGAATGCTTATACACACTGCTGTATTTGTGTTAAATTGCCTTGTCTACATTTTCTTCCATTGGAGTCATGATCTGGTTATTTTCAGAGTGCCTCTGCTAAGATTGCACATAAAGAAATTTGTACTGACGTGCACAATTACTGAAGCTTAATGTAAATGGGCAAGAACTTCCTTTGCCAGTATTGCCTTGCATAGCTATTAAATCACAACCATATAAGCATGATGTAGCCTCTTTTGACCAACGCAAAAACTACAACTCTGGGCATTAGGCATAGGCAATAAATACTGGCCCAGCCAGTGATGCCCATGTCCTCTAAATAAATAAGAAAAAATGAGGCCACTTTCCCTATTTGCTGCCGCAATGAAAATGTAATGGCAGTTTATCATAGGACTGGTAATATTTGAGTGTTATTGGCACTATAAATGAGATTTGTTTTCAATATATAGGAGGGTGTCATCACCATTTCTTGCCCTGATACAGTTGGGCTGAAGGCAGGTAGTGTGCTCTTGAGCTTCTGCCAGTTCAATGCATGTCACATTTGTGCACCCGTGTCAAAACTACACAGCAACACTGACTCTTTCTTTGCCATTTCCTACAAGATCACCATTCTAATATTTGGATTTGTCTAGGAATCTGTTTCACACTTCCTCTAAGCTCTAAAATATCTAGGGGTACAGGTTCATAGCTCGTTGAAAGAGTCGCAGGTAGACAGGACGGTGAAGAAGGCTTTTAGTACGCTTGCCTTTATTGGTCTGTACATTGACTGTAAGATTTGGGACATTGTGTTGCGGCTGTATAAGACATTAATGAGGCCAGTTTTAGAATACTGTATACAATTCTGGTCATCCTTCTGTAGGAAGGATAATGTTAAACTTGAAAGAGTGCAGAAAAGATTTACAAGGATGTTGCCCTGATTGGAGGGTTTGAGTTAGAAGGAGAGGTTGAATAGGCTGGGGCTATTTTCCCTGGAGTGTTGGAGGCTGAGGGGTGACCTGATAGAAATTTCTAAAATCATGGATAGAGTGAATAGCTAAGTTCTTTTTCCTAGGGTGGGGAAATCCAAAACTGGAGGACATAAGTTTAAGGTGAGAGGGGAAAGATTTAAACGGGACCTAAGGGACAACTTTTTCACGCAGAGGGGTGGTGTGTATATGGAGTGAGCTGCCAAAGGAAGTGGGTACAATTACAACATTTAAAAAGGCATCTGGATGGGTATATGAACAGGAAGGATTTAGAGGGTTATGGGCCAAATGCTGATAAATGGGACTAGGTCACACTGGGGTGACTGGTCGGTGTGGACAAGTTGAACCGCTGGATGAGTCTTAGTTTTATGTTCTGCATTGGCAGATGAGGGTAGGTCAGTGAGAAGTTTTTCTGCTGTGTCCCTGGCACTGTTCCTCAGATGAGGAGCCCTTAACGTCAGTTGTTCTCTATGGTCAGGTACCCGTCTGGCAGCTGCTTACTTGGTACCAATTTTGTTTTAGTATCCTGAATTGTAACTACACTTATTTGTTTCTTTTCCAGTAAACAAGCACGTTCTTTTCTTTGAGAAGAAGAAAATCCGGTCAATCTGATATTGGAAGCTGAAATGAACTGATTTTGTGTGAGGACAATTCAGGATTTCCTGGAAGTAATGAATACCACCTGTGGTTTGGGGATATTTCAAAAGCTGACAAGAACATCAGAAGAGGGAACAGTCACTTTTTTATTTACAACTTACAAGTTACTTTTAAAAAAAAATAAAATGAACAATGGCTAGAACCAAACTGAATGGCCTGTTCTTTCATTTTTTTTCCCCTAAAAGAGTTCCTGAGGGAGCTGTGCTCTGTGGGGGTAGCTAGCTTGAGTTCCTTGTGATTGAACACTCACGGAAGCGATGTCACAGGCCCTTCTGCTCATTTCGTCCAGTTCCATGTAAGGATAACAAGCCATGTAGAATGCCAGAGCGCCCAAAAAGCTGTCACCTGCACCCTTAGAAGTAATTTGAGAAAGAGTTAGTTTATTCCAATGGAATTAAATGTCTAATGGTAATTCATTTGGTAAACGACTATGCATTTTCTTGCTATGTCTTGTTCATGTGCTAAACTCGGAATCACTGCCAACACGCTTCGGTAACAAGTGCATGCAGTATCTGGTTTCTTCTCCTTTCTTACCCTTTTCCTTGCTGAGAAATAGTAAGCTACCTATTCAGGTTGAGTTAGTGAACGTGGCCATACTGCTCCCAACCAAGAGTTATTCATGTGCTAGGGTGGCAGTGAAAGAAAGTGGTATAAATCCAAATCGAGTCATAGAAATCTACAGCACTGAAAAAGGCCCATTGCATCTGCACTGGTCAAAGCCAACTGCCTAGTGATTCTAATCCAATACTGAAGTCTTCCACGGGGAACCACTAAAACAAAACGTCTTGATCAGACCTTTGGCCATGCTGCAGAATAAACTACCCAGTGAAACAAAATTGCACAATTTTTTGTAAGCTTTCTTTTGTAACTCTGGCAGATTAATAGTCATAGAGCTGTACAGCATGGAAAAAGACCCTTCAGTCCAACTCGTCCACGCCAACCATATATCCTAAATTAATCTAGTTCCATTTTCCAGCATCTGGCCCATATCCCTCAAAACCCTTTGTATTCATGTACCGATCTAGATGCCTTTTAAATGTTGTAATTGTTACCAGCCTCCTCGACTTCCTCAGGCAGCTCATTCCATACATGTGCCACCCTCGGCATGAAAATGTTGCCCCTTACGTCCCTTTTAAATCTTTCCCCTCTCACCTTAAATGTATGCCCTCTAGTTTTGGACTTGCCCCACCCTAGAGAAAAGACCTTCGTTATTCACCCTATCCATGCCCCTCATGATTTTATAAATTTCCATAAGGGCATCCCTCAGCCTCCGGTGCTCCAAGGAAAATAGCCCCAGCCTATTCAGCCTCTCCCTACAGCTAAAACACTCCAACCTTGGCAACATCCTTGTAAACCTTTTCTGAACCCTTTCAAGTTTCACGAAATCGTTCCTACAGCAGGGAGACCAGAATTGCACGCAGTATTCCAAAAGTGGCCTTTTAGTGTTGGTACAGCTGCAACATGACCTCCCAATTCCTATCTTTGATGCACTGACCAATAAAGGCAAGTATACCAAACACCACCTTCACTATCATGTCTACCTGGGATTCCACTTACAAGGAACTATGAACCTGCACTCCAAGGTCTCTTTGTCCAGCCACACTTCCCAAGACCTTACCATTAAAAGTGTATAAAAATTGTCTAAGCATACTTAACAAGAACATCCCAAAATGGTGTGTGATATGGTTGTCATTTGAAAGAATAAAGCATGAACAGCAGCAATGTAATAATAAGAGGCTCTGTTTGTTCATTTACTGTTTCCAGTGAACCTCTGATTGGAGCTCAATTTACTTACCTGCTTTTGGCTGTTTCAGGAGGTTAAGTGAATCAAGAGAACAGAGCTTTCTTAAAATAAAATAGGTATAAACTCTTTGGTACCAGCAGGACTAGAAACTAGGAGCATTTAGCTGTGACATACAACAAGCCAGAAGAGAATGGTGCAATGATATTTGGACTACTTTTAAAAGGAATTCTATGAACAGATTGAAGGCTAGAAGAATATGTACACAGATATATGTTCAAACATTCTGTGGAACATAGTTCCGTTTCTGATTGACCACAGGAATGTTATCTCTGGAATGCAACTGCAGTGTTGTCTGCAATTACAGGAATTGTGTTAAGGTATTGTCCTGGTTATTTTTGCTCAGTTATTGCCTTTGGAGCTTCAGGGAGAAGTCTTGCCTACTAGCTACTTCCCTCAATGTTTAAGAAGTCAGAGTCTGTGACAGCATCAAAGAAACAAAACTGAAAGAACTGTGGATACTGTAAATCAGAAACAAAAATAGATTGCTGGAAAAGCTCAGCAGGTCTGACAGCATCTGTGAAGAGAAATCAGAGTTAACATTTTGGGTCCAGTGACCCTTCCTCAGAAGATAATGAGCCTTGACAGTTTGAATTGCTTGTCTTTTTTTAAGTTGAGAAAACACACAGGGCTGAACTTTAAAGGCACAGGTAGTGCAAACGTTGTAGAGAAATGAGAATGCTGGTTAAATTTTGAATAGAAGGACTAGGTGTTATCAAGGTTTAATGTACAGGTGGTGGCACATAAAAAGCTGAGAAATCAAAATTCTGAAATCCTTAAGCTAAGTTTCTGCAGCAAATTGAGATCTGGATATTTACATGAAAATACAGGAGCAGGTGTAGGCCATTCGGCCTCTTTAGCCTGTTCTGCCATTCAACGGGATCATGGCTGATTTGACTGTTAGTCTCAGCACTGAACTCTGACAGACTTCACTAGTTACAGGTTAGCTATTAATATGCTGCTTTTCTATTTTCCCTGCCAAAATGGACAAGTTCACATTTCTGATGTTACACTCCATCTGCCAAATATTTGCCTGTTCCTTCTATATCCCTTTGGCAACTCTCTTCTTCACAAATTGATTTCCTACCTATCTTAAGCAAATTTAGCAACAATACATTGGTCCTTCATCCAAGTGATTAATATAAATGGTAAATAATTGAGCCCTGACACTGATCACTGTAGCACATCACTAAGCACATCAACCAACCCAAAGGCAATTGGTTTATGTCCAGTCTCTGCTTCCATTAGCCAACCAATCCTCTATGCCAATATGTTACCCCTCTAGATGATCAGGTCTTAGTTTAGAAAGCCTTTAACATGGCACTTTCTCAAATGCCCTCTGGAAATCTGGGAAAGTTGTGCTATTATGATAATATCACTGGATTACTAATCTAGACATCCAGGGTAATGTTCTGGCGACATGGATTCAAAATACATCACAGCAACTGGTGGAATTTAAATTCAGTTAATCAATTAGAATTGAAAACTAGTCTCCATTACAACAATCGATAGTTTCATGGTCATTGTTAAGACCCATCTGGTTCACAGATATATTTTTTTGGGAAGGAGTCTCATTCTTACCTAGTGTGGCCCACGTGACTTCAGATCCATAGCAATGTGGCTGACTTTTAACTGCCCTCTGAATTGATGTAGCAAACCACTCAGTTCAGGCACTAATTAGAGAAGGGCAGCAATTGCTCGCTTTACTTGACTTTTAAATACTTGTAGAAACTCATATTCCAACCACACATCTTTCATGCTCTTCATTTCACCTTCCCCATAATCTTCTGGTCATTCTTTGCTGTTCTTTATAGTTAGTCCAATCTTATGACCTGCCACTCAGCTTTGCACAATTATATGTTTTTTCCTTCAGTTTGATGATATTTTTAACTTCCTTTGTTAGCCACAGTTGGTGTGCCTTCCCTTAGAATCTCTGTTTTGAAATATTGCCTTAAATTTTTCGTCAACGTATCTCTACTGACTATCCCTTAACCTGGTTTACATATGAATATAAGTGTTGGGTGCAGGAATACACCAGTCTCTGTAGTCCACATCGCGATTTAATAAGATCATGGCTGATAGGATTACGGCCTTAAATTCACATTTCCGCTTACCTCTGATGACCTCTGACTCCATTGTTCATTGAGAATCTATGTATCCACATCTGCCTTAAAATTACTCACCACATTTCCATGGGAAGAGTGTTCTAAAGATTCACAACCCTTTGAAAGAAACTCTTCAAGCACTTGTATTTGATCACACTTCTCTCCCTTAAACTGAACGTGAAGTTCAAATCATAATCTCTGCTACCTAGGCAGCACCTTTGCTATGTCATATTGGCCAATACCAGATCTAGTACAGCATGCCATTTGCCTGTTTCTAGAACATACTGCTGTTAGAAACTATCTTGAAAGCACTCCTCATCCAAAATATATGCAGATTAAATCATCCACATTATTGCTTTACCTTTCTCACAAGCTCCCATCATTTCTTCATATATACTCTCTCCTACAGTGGGGTTACTGTTAAAGAAGTCTATAAAGCACTCACATGCTTTACTTCTTACCTTTACTATTTCTCATCTCTAACCAAACTGCTATGATCTCCAGAACTAAAGTCAGCTTTCTCTTTCACTGATGTCATTCTTATTTAAAAAGGCTATGTCTCCACCTCTCCTTAGTTTTCTGCTCTTCCAAAAATGTCATGTATCCTAGAATATTTAAATCCCAATCTTTATCATCTTGTAGTCATGTCATCTTCAATACATATATATCTATTTTGATTTGTGCTGTTAACTTTTTTTAATATAAATGTCACATGCATTTAAAAACAGCACCTTTTAGTTATGTCCTTTCATTATTTCTATAGTCTCTAGCCTTAGCCACGGTTGCAATGTTGGGTTTATACATTGTCTCTTCCTGACACACTCTGATCATTATTGCCTTTATAGCAATCTTGCACTCGGGCCTTGTCTTCTCTTTAATTTATCACATCTTCCCAGACTTGCTCTTCATTTCCACCATGTAGTTTATAGCCCTCTCTATCACTGTTACATGACTCACCAGTCCCCACACAATACAACTTCCACTTTCCCCAGTAACAGTGCCATGCCCCAGAAATCAAAATGATTTTTCCTACTCCAATCTTTGAACCACAAATTTCATCTCTCTAATCTTATTTGGACTAAGCCTATTTGCTCATGGCCCAGGTAATGATTATCTGAGAGATTATCTTTGAGGATCTGCCTTTTAATTTAGCCTCTCTCTGTTCATACCCCTTCAGCAGACCTTCTTCCCTAGTGCCATGTAAGTGGCTGGTACCTACATGGTCCACGACAACTGGATACTTTCCCTTTCACTGCAGATGTCTCAAACCCTGGAACCAGTCAGGCAGCACAGGAGTCTGGACTTGTGGAGAATTGTAACTTGGCAGATGGAATATAATGTGAGGTAATGCACTTTGGCAGGAAGAATAGAGAAGCTGAACATTATTTAAATGGAAAAATACGGAGAAAGAGGAATTGGGGAGCCCTTGTGCATGAATTATAAAAA